ACAAGCTTAGATATTATATTTGTCAGATGCAGTTGAACGTATCCTGAAGAGATGTAGTTTGGTTGTGCTTCTAAAATCTTCCATACATAAGAATGTTGAAAGTGGAAAGTTCCTGCCTATTTTAAGGCAAGTTGCTTAGGAAAGGTTTTGTGTTCTTTGACCTGAGGTAAAGTCAGCTGGGTGGCTGTGAACTACCCCACCATTTTTGCCAGGTTCGGCCCCTACTGACCTGGCCTGTAGCCCTCCGCCCCACCATGACAGTGACATGGTTCAGTGAAGTGGGATTTTCTAGTTTTGTTGGAGACTCAGTTGTGTCATGTGATTTTTTTTTTCTGAAAACTCTCTTGTGAGAGGATGTTTTGCTGAGAACACACATGGGGTGTTTATCTGGAAGCTGCCAGGTAAAAGGGCATGTGATGTTTTGCTGGCTCAGACACTTGAGAAGACATGTGATTTTTGGAAAGAGTGTAGGTATAACCCAACAGACAGTGGATGATGCTCTTCCATTGGTTTGCCTTGCAACTCTTCGCTGGTCTTTGATGGTCTTCACTGACTTTAGCCTTCGCAGATAACACTCTTGCATTGGTTTGTCTTGCTTTCTTTGCTGATCTTTGCTTGCTGTGACTTCGTGCAGAGAAAAGTGCCAGAGAATTTTTTGTGGTATTCTGGCTGCTTCTTGCTACTTCCTTGGACTCATGTAGATTTGGTGAAACCTCAAGGTTTCTTCTAGACTGAGCTGCTGCTACTGATTTATGTTTGGTGTTTTGGACTGGACCACCAATACCCTGACAATTAAGACTGGAATAGCCCCAAAGAGCTACTTCTAAACAGGTCCACATCACATTTCCTATTAACTTTTCTTTTCCCCTACCTCTGGTAGATGGGCTAGAAGGGAGGTTGAAGAGTTTAAAAACGCTTATTAAAGTAGGTTTTTGAAAAATGTAAGCCTACAGTTCAGCCTGCCAAGTGTTAAGGAAAGAGTTCTTTTATAAGCAGTTGGACCTCTGATAGAGCTCTCTCTTTTGGCTAGGAAAAGCCTTTATGGAAGGAGCTCTGGGTAAGACAGAGAGATTTTCCCTTGGGCTTACAGGAACAATAGAGAAGCATCAGGCAGGACGCAGGTAAAACAGTATTCTAGGAAAGAGAGCTAAGGAGCCCTCATGGGCTTGGAGACACTCAAGAGAAAGGTAGACTAGCTAGGTGGAATGACAAATACAAAGAGATTTCTCAAGAGCTAGCAGTTTAACTGTAGCATAAGGCTTGTAAATATTTTATATATACTTCAGAAAATAAAGTCACCTCCCTGAGCTAGCAGGTTTTTACCTCAGTTTATCTCTCCCATGTCTTTATTGATATGAATATTAGATAATTAAGACAGTTACAAACTTTGGGTATGTGAATTTTAAGTCTGCTAAAGAAAAGGCCTTGAAACTCACTGGTTTAACAAATGTTTGGCGTGAGGACTGAAGGAGCTGAAAGGGTTTGTGGCCCCATGAGGAGACCAACAATACCAACCAACCACAGCTCCTAGGGTCCTAACCACCAGCCTGGGAGCACTTAGGGAGGGATCCAGGGCTTCAGCTGAATATGTAAGAGTGGAGGGCCCTGCCGGGCACAGGTGGAAGATGAGATCCTTGACCTCATGAAGGCTGGACGCCCCAGGGGGTGGGAATTTTGAGGGTGGGGAAGTGGGAGTGGAGGTGGGGTAGGTGGGGGTTACATCCATGGAGAAGGAGGAGGAGGGGTAAGGGAATGGGGGGTTCCCGGGTGGGTGGGGGATGGGGTAAGGGGACAACATATGAAATGTAAATAAAATATTCAATAAAAAAAAAAAAGAAAAATCTGAAAAAAAAAAAAACCAAATGTTTGGCAATAAGATTAAAGTAGAAAAACAAACAAACAAAAGAGACAGTAAGAAAGTATGAGCTGCAAGAACACTTTTTGCCAAAATCGTCTTTCACCATCACTGAGGATGAATGAAGTGCTAAGGATTCCACAGAGATTGGTCAGCAAGGGTGGGACAGGTAAAGGGATCGATCGCTCATGAGTTCAAGGCAGAAATCAACGGAGAGAAAAAGTCCTAAGAAAAGCAGGGGGCGGAGCTTGATGGGCAGAGAAAAGACAAGGCAAGGGAGAGCTGGAAAAGCACTTGCAAGTGGGGAAGCAAAAACTCTGGTTTAAAGAAACTTTCCTACAGTACAACAGAAGAAACTCTTCGGGAAGTATTTGAGAAAGCAACTTTTATCAAAGTGCCCCAGAATCCAAATGGCAAATCTAAAGGGCACGCGTTTATAGAATTTGCTTCATTTGAAGATGCTAAAGCTTTAAACTTCTGTAGGAAAATGGAGATTGAGGGCAGAACAATCAGGCTGGAGTTACAAGGACCCAGGGGATCACCTAATACAAGAAGTCAGCCATCCAAAACTCTGTCAAAGGTCTGTCTGAGGAAACCCCTGAAGAGACCATAAAAGAATCATTAGAGGGCTCCATTCATGCAAGAATAGTCAGTGATCAGGAGACTGGGTCTTCCAGAGATTTCAACAGTGGGAAAGATGCTAAAGTTGCCAATGAGGCCATGGAAGATGGCAAAATTGATGGAAAGAAAGTTACCTTGGACTAGACCAAGGCTACAGGTAAAAGTGGCTGAGGTAGGGGCAGAGGAGGAAGAGTCAGACTTGGTGGCAGAGGCCAGGGAAGCTTTGGAGGTGGCAGAAGCTTCCGAGGTGGCAGAAGACAGAATTCAAGCCATAAAAACAGAAGGCAAAGTTTAAAATTTTTCTTCTATTCCCACCTTCCCCTCTTCATTTGAAAGAAAGAACTCAGGGTGTTTCTTGTTTCCTGTTCAATGACAAAGCCTTCTGAGGATATTCCAGGACGGTAAGGACACAACTGTGTAATCTAACTTGGAATCTATATTGATAATATCTCAGGAGACACCCTATTGGTTTTGACTGGATATTCATAAAAAGTTTTTGTAATTTGTTCAAGACAGGAACCCAATCTATAGACCAGGCTGGCCTCTAACTCAGAGACCAACCAGCCTCTACCTCCTGTATGTTGGAATTAAAGGCATGGGCCACCACTGCCCAGTCATATAACTTTTTAAAGATGAGTAATAGAGATAAGCCTTATCTGTATGTTCTAAATTTATAGTTTCACCTCATGTATAAAACCATCATTTCCTACATGAAAATGATAATGATTCAGGTGATGTGAAAGACACTTATCAGGTGACATTTTGCTAGAACCAAAGAGTTGCTTCAGGCCACTGACACCCATGATCTCCCACAAGTGGGCTTGTTATTCTCGTTCCTCTGCCATGAATTATTTTATGCTCATACACAAAGCATTTTACACAAGATGTTACCCAAATGCTCTGTGTCCCTACACCCTCACAGCTGCATGGTCTATAGGAGAGAGGTTGGGTCCAAGGAGCAGTGGCCAGTCATGAAGAGGGAGAATTACAGAGCTGGGCAAGTGGGGTCAAGGTGAGGGCGAGGATGGTGAAGGTGGCAGAGTTAACTGTAAGAAGCAATGCCAAGCTATGCTACTCCTCGAGGCTAGCACAGCTACAGGTGGATTCCTGCTGGGACAGGAAACTATCAACAGGGAAGGCCGAAAGTCTGGGATATCAGAGCTCTACCTGTTTCTAAAGGGAAGATGACAATAGAGCACATGTGCTGCTCAGTGTCACCTCCTCCGTGTTCTTGCTCCAGTCTAGAATTCCAGGTATCTCAGATGAAATGCTCGTTCTACAAGCTGGCCCACATCACCTCACCCCTCTGGCTTGAATCCTTTGGTAATCTCCCCCAGCTTGGCTTCACAGAAGAAACAGGACATGGAGGGACATGTAGCAGGAAAGATGGTTGCCACAGGAGACTCCCCAGGCCCTCTGAATGTGCTGCTTTCACTGCTGATGGAAAATCCCGTGTGTCACCACCATCCAACACAGATGAGGAGAAAGGCTTAAAGAACTTCTTGGGCTGGAGAGATGGCTCAGTGGGTGAAGGTGCTTGCTGCCAAACCTGACACCTAAGTTTGATCCCCAGGTCCAACATGGTAGAAGGAGAGAACTGGCTCTAGCAAGCTGTCTTCTGACTTCCACACATAGTCTGGACACACACATACACATATGTATGTATGCACACACACACGCCCCACACATAGACACATACACCATATATATACACTATATTACATACATACTCATCCATATATACACATTGAATGTAATTTTTTAAAAATCTTAAGGTCACTCATGACACTTTTAGGTAGACAGAAGACAGAATCAGAGTCTACTGAGTTCTAGCATGGAGCAGCGATGTTTCTCATGGGCTAGATGAAGGTCAGAGGGACTGCTGGGTACACAGAAACAGCCTGGGTGATCTCTGTGCTTCTGCAAGCATAAAAACGCCTAGCACAAAAATATGGACATCGCTTTCAATAAATTTGGGGGCAGTTTCTAGATGAAAATAAATGGGAGCTTAGGAGGTTTGTATTTGTTTATAAAAATTAATGTCATTTTTTAGAAAAACAAAACAAATAAACAACAACAATCTTCCTCCAATACTATAAGATCACAAACCACAACCTGTCTCTCAGTCTTGGCTGTTTGGGCATTGGGCTGCCATGTCTAGGCCAGCTGCAGAGCTGGCTTCTTCCTTGGTTTAACAGCTATGTCTTATGATGTTGGAGCACCTCTCTCACTAACAGCATTGCACTAGTTCTGGCAGCCTGGTTTGCCCTGTTCCCGTTCTGCAGTGTGGGCCTCACCATGACCACACATCATGGTTAGTATAGACTCGGTTCTTCCATGTGTTGCAAAGAAAATAATGGACACCTTGAAGCCAGGGCTGGGGCCTACCTCCAGTTTCCAGTTAAACAACATGTAATCAGTTTTATAATCCAGTCATTTCTGTAGGACATCCGCTCAGGAAGCTTCCTGATCTGGAAAACAAGGCCAGTCTCCAGAGTTACACAACACACCGAAGCCAGACAGCTATCCACAATTTCCATTTTAATATAAATGGGGTTCTGTCCCTGATAACATCAGTTGGAGAATTACACAGCTTGATTGGACATCAGCATTTAACAAAATTCACTTTAAGATTATAGAGCATTTAAAATACAAAAATAAGTCTTTTAATTAAAAAGAGTATGTGAGCAGCCCAGTACTGTCCAGAAACAACCCAAAGTCCATAGGCAGGGAGATCTCCAGCTGAGCCTAATGATTACATGAGCTATGAGGCTCTGGGTAGTTTGATACAGAATTTTCTGACTCTTAGATAATTTCTTGTCCAGCAGAAGACATTAGAAAAGAGGCTTCGATGAACCATCCCACTCAGGATATTCCTGGCCTTCTACAGAGGACAGTGGATTACCTAAGAGGCAGACAACCTCTGCAGAGAGCCCTGGCTGTCATTTGAACAGGGGGGTACCCAGGCAAGCTGTTAAGGGATGTGCACTGGCCATCGTGTGAGAATTCAAACTCAACTGGAATCTTCCTTCGTCCCATTTGCATCTTCTAATGATTGCTGGTATGGTTAAAATGGCCCTGCAATGGTGAAAGAACACATTGTGAGCATTAATTCGCTCTATTTCATTAACAGGTTTCAGTTAGAGAGTCACCAACACAGAGAACACTATAATAACTGGGCTAGCCAGGGTGTGATGACACATGCTTATAAACCCAGCACATGTGAAGCTATGACAAGAGCACGGCCAGCCTGTGCTACAGAATAAGTTATAGGCCACCCTGGCCCTCACAGTGAGACTCCATTTCAAAAATTAAAATAATAGGAATAATATATTAACAGGGGAGGGAGAGACAGAGAGAAACACACACACACACACACACACACACACACACACACACACACACACA